CAGGGACAGAACCCCGCCCTCGCTCCCACCCGCACCTTCTCCCACCCGCGCGGCTGGAGAACACCCGACTTACTTTCACTTTTATTTAAAATCTCAGTACTCGATCATTTCTTTTTTTTCTTTTTTTTGCAACAAAACAGGTAATAAATATTATTTAGCACTTTTTTCTTTTTACAAAAATAAAACAGACGATACACTCTCTGCGAGGGGCGGCGGTCGGAGGGGGGATGTTACGGGACAGACGGGGCGAAGCCAGGTCGCGGCGCGGGGCGCACGTGGAGGAGTTTGTCGTTTGTGTTAAAAGTGGCGAAAAGAAACCGCTGTGGAGGAAACCGGCTCCGACGCCGGTGGGGCCGGCAGTCAGGTGGCAGTTCAGCAGCCCGCACTTACCTCGTCACTGAGATGATATCTACACATCCAGGGAAGAAGAGAGGGAGGCCGCCGCCGCCCCCAAATAACCAAACCGCATTCACAGCTACAGCCTTCCAGCTGTCAGGCCTCAGGTGCGCGGCTGCCCCGCCGGGTGAGGGGCCCAATCGCTTTGTGCCCAGAGGCGGAAAGAACAGGGCAGGTGGGGGGCTCTATCTTAAAATGACTAAAACACACCCGCTCCCCGAGTGGACGGTACTAGGCTATTCCAGTCCACCAGTGGTTCCGTCCCGACGTCTACAGCGCTTGTTCCTGTTGTTGAAAATGGAACCGCGACAGATGAGAAGACCGCACGCCCTAAACCACTAGGAGCGACGCGGACGACCCGCAGCAGTTCGCAGAGGGTTGGGGGTTACCAGGTGTCGCGGTTGGACGCGACCGTGGGTGCTTCTGGCACCGAACGCCGCGTTCCAACCAACCCGCAGCCCTGGCCCGGGCCAGAGAGGGCCCTGGACGGTGAGCCCGACGGCTGCGCCGGCTCCCGGGGTACCGCTCCCGGGAATCCCCAGTCGGCCCGAGAAAGGGGGAAGCGGAGGGTGTCCCCAACGCCCCCCTCCCTCCCCACCCACTCCCCACGTAACAAAGTGCAGCCGGGGCCGAGTGAGGCCCTGTTCCCCGGGAAACCAGTTCTCAGAATCATCTCTTTTGGGGGCAGAGGGGCTGTTTGGAGAGGGGTGCAAAGAGCGGTGCTTTCTGATAAAACGGTGTCTACCGAACCCGTGCTATTTAAAGCCAGAGAGGGCTGAGCCAGGTCCCGGAGCGAAGGCCCCTCTCACTCCCCACCGGTTAGTGCGCCCCAGGGAGGGCGGGAGTCCGCACCGTCTCCCCCCCCAGCCCAAGGTCCTGCGCTCCTCGGAGCCCAGTCCCCACGTCCCAGCTCGCAGCCTCCGGTCCCGGCTCGCCAGGACGCACCTCACTTGGCGTCGGAGGTGAGGCGCGGCAGGCTGCCGGTGCCCATGGCCGACACGTGGTGGTGCGGGGGCGGCACCTGGCACATGCTGCAGGGACAGGGCATGCCACCCCAGTGCTGGAAGCCGCCGCCGCCGCCGCCGCCGCCGCCGCCCCCC